GGACTGTTAACACTCCGGTATTATTAGAGCAATCCAGAGACTTGTTATAACGAGAGACTTTGACAAACAGGAGAACAATTTAAAATGGTGCTTTTGCTGCTACCAAAAAAAAAAAAATCAACCAACAAGAATGGGTGCTTATGGAAGGATTTGGATTGTGCATTTCTGTATTACCCAGGCAGAATTTTTACTTTTTAATTATTATATATTTTTTTTATGTCTTCAGATTGTCATGTGTTTTACTGCTGGATGAAGGAATAGTGTTTATTTGAAACTTTTTTTTTTTTTTTTTTAAGAGCCCGTAACCAAAAAAGAAAAAAAAATTACCTATCACCATGAGCAAAAAGTATAACATGTTACCTCGCCGATCAGAAAAGGTGGCTGAATTGAGGCATGTTTCCAGCGAGTTTACTGTTAGTTTTGTAAATCTTTATACTGGCCTGGGAAAGAGAAGATTTGTGATATAATATATAGTTTTCTTAATTTGTCAGTTAACTGTACAAATTCTGGACACTCAAAGAGTCATTGTTTGAATTTGAGATGGTTACAGTATTTGGGTGTGAAGTCATTTTAAGTTCCAATATGTTGACTAACAGAGTTCTGTTACACATTAGTCAGATATATTGATGACATAAAGTGGAACTACAGTCCTGGCTCCTAGAAGGACAGCAGAATCTTAAGATGCCATTGTTTCATATTAAGTCCTACACTGCAGTATGTTCAGATAGGACGGTGACATGCTTGCTCCCGGGAGGATGAGTGTGAGCATGTTCATTGTTTAGAAGCAATTTAGGATTTCCCTATCCAGTTTTGGTAGAGGGCAGCTCTGTTTTCCTATTTGTCCTGTTTTAACCCTGTAAATTTAGGGTTACCATTATTACGTGTTTTATTTTGTTCTGTACATCTCAAGTATTTAGTTCCACCATCCTGAGAGGCTGCATCTCCTTGAAAGACACTTTAAAAAAAAAAAAAATTTAAAATTATTTATGTTTTAAACACATTTAGCAAACACAACCCTTCTGTATCGTAGCCTTTCACCGACTTAACACACACAAAAAAAAAAGAAAGGTGCATGAACCCTTAGTTCAGGTCAAAATCAAGTTTTCCAATAAAATCATTCCTTAACATCCGTTGTATCATTCCCAATGGAATCTTTTGTAAATTCTGATCATTTTCAGCTTTTTTTGGAAATAGTTAACTGATGATTTCCTCTCAAATAGAGCTTTTGTTGTAGTTATTTGTCTATTCGTTCTGTACCAATGTTGTACAGAAAGCAAAGCTTGATATCCACTTAAAACTGCCATCATGTATTGTAAGGGCTGAATGGGAAGAGCTCTGTCACATAGTACAATAGTTACTCCAGTATCACATGTTATGGACAGCACAAGCAAGGAACCACTGGTGTTTCAAAGTTATTTATATACTTATTTTAATCTACTGTAAGGAAGAATGACTGGTACAGGGAATGTACCAGCTTAGAAGCATGATTGATCTTTCAATTTTTCCATTCAGGACTTTCCTAAGAACCATCAATGTTATAAAAAGCTTAAAACTGGAACAAATGCCTCCATTAATTTAGTTCTATGTAAATGTGATCTAAGAGTGAATGCACCTTTAGTGTAAAGCTAAGGACTGGATTTCAATACTTGCTGTGTTTCTGTTGGTGTAGGTAGGGCTCTCAGGGCAGGGCAGGAACCAGCCCTGTTTGAGCTGTGATCATTGATAACATTAAGGAAATTTCTTGAAAGTTCTTATCAGAATGTTTAAATGGATGTAATCATTGAAAGCACTTACCAGACTTTACAATATCTGGAAAATAATATAAAATAAAGACTACTGTATGCTCCAGAACAGGGTGGAACAAGAGGGAACTGGAATACTCCTGCGTGACAGACCATTACGTAAATAATAAGCACAGCTGTGTAGGTTGGGATGGAATCTGAAGAAAGTGGGATTCTGCCCATGTGCTGTAATACCAGTGACAAAATAGTTTTTGGCTTTTATATATAACAGCAATTTGCACCTACATGCTCCTGATTGTGTAACAAAACTGATCCACAAGGTCCTGTATATTCCCTCCCTTTTTCATACAGCTTTGATTTTTAGACGGTATTCTACACCAGGGAAAATAACTGATTGTTTCTGCCCAAAGTTAATTTCATAGTAAGTGAGTGACTAACAGCTGTTAAGAGATAAAGGGGCACCCTAACCACTAGAACGCACTGTATAGAATTATTAATCGTAGTCCTTCTACTTTGTGTCAAACAATTTGAGTGAGTTGGGGAAAATGGGGTTCACCCAACATCTAAATTCAACCTGGAATTTCTGCTGAGGCTTGGCTAGTGGACTAGTTTGCGTAAGCAAAGCATCAGCAGAAGGCTAACTTTTAGGTGTCAGGAGAGCTCTGTCTTTTGTCAAACCAGTCAAAACAATAGTTTGACAGGATGGCAGCCAAAGATGGTTTGACCCATAACCACTCCAATGAGCGCAAGTGGTTATGGTGCTCACAGTGACCCTTTGAGCACAAATAGTTATAGGACACTTCAATTATAACACACATGACTGGAATTATTGCTAAAGAGAAGGAGAAATGTGTATTTGGGTAAAATTTATATTACAATGCTATTTAGCTTCATCTTAATGGAAATTTTGCAAGAAAATTGTTTTTTGTTTTTTTCATATTATGAAAAAATACATTTTTATAGAAGTTAGTGAAGCCTACCTTCTTTGTGCCATTTCTCCTTCTATGCATGCTGTAATTAAGGCACATATAACTGGTCTCTGCTGATAATTTCCTCACAATGATTTAGCTCCAACCTAGAATAGCTGACCTCCAAGGTTGGGAGTCTAAACATGTTGCATGCTTGCACTGAGAGGCTTCTAGGTAAAGTGGCAAACTGTAACTGTGGTGAGTCATCTACAATTCAGCACCGTGCAATATCTTAATCCCCTTGTCCTCCTGGTGCTAAATGCCGGAAAAATAAAAATTGCAGCTTTTCTGTTAGATGTTTTAATGGTGCTATATATCACGCAAATGGCATTTCCATTAATAGATGGGTCCAAGACTGTAACACATTTTAAAACAACCTGAAATGTAAGACTTAAAAAAAAAAAAAAAGAAAAGGTTATTTATACAAAATACTGAGGGCATTATTGTGCACGGAGATCAAAAACTGTCCTACAGCTTATGATTCATTGTGGTGCAATATTTGGCCCAGCCTCATGTGGTAGTAAAGAGCAGTTTCCGATACCTGCTGGTATCCAGTCCCACAGTTTCAGAATTCAGTGTTATGGCGTTGAATCTTGTCCGGTGCTAAAAGTCAATGAAATGCTTCTTAAACAGTGTCATCGTGCTGACAGCTGTTGCATTGGTGCTATATTAAAATATTTGCAAGGAAATTCTAGTCCTTGTTCTTGCCACTGCAAACCTTAGAACAAAAGTGTGAAAGCATGTTACGATCTCCTTGGGGAGAAGATATCTATATATAGCAGCCCTATCCTTGTTGTTGAGCTCCTAATGCTGTCTTCTTTGCTACCGTATTACCTCAGTGCCTTGGGCTTTTACAACTAACCAAGAAACCAGATGTTGGTTCATGTCAATTACTGTCTTTTTGTCCGGCCACTGCTGCAAATTCTATTCTTCAAAAACTATAAAAAGAAACTGAAAAGAAAATGCAAATGTTTTGTCTGGCTTTTTGTGTGTTTGTTATAAACATTTTTTATGAATGGCAGTTTTTAACAAAGCATTTGTGCATAAAAGCTAATAAATATTAAACAAAGCTTGTCGAGTGCATCCAGTTGTCTTGCTTATCCCACCATGTGAAAAGCAGTCAGTTTGTAACACCTTTAAGTCTTTGTAGCTGCTTGGAACACAGTTGTGTGTTTTAGCCTTTCTACAGGTCTGTTACAATGAGGTAGAATAGGACACCCAACCTCTAAAGCAAAAAAATATATATATATACATATCCGTGTTCACGTGCTGAGCATATCAGAAACACTGTAGTTCTTGGGATCTTATCTGAGGCCTTTTCGTGTACATTCTGTCAATAACCCATTGATATACATCATATCTGCCCCTTACCCCTGTGCCATTGTGATTGTTTGACATGGTGCATGAAAGGCAAGCGAGATCAGACGGGCACTGTAGCCACTGTGTTCTGTGGATTCACTTTGCATGGGCGGCTCTTGTCCTTTAAAACACAACTGCGCGTACAGAGGTGACAGGCAGCGCAGAAAGAGTTACAGCATGGTAGGAACCTGTAGGCACTGATCCTCCAGACGAACCATCCTGGTGACCAGCAGCACCAAAACAGCAGGCCCACTCCAAGCACCAGTCCCAGGATAATGTACAAGAAGAGAAGCGATGTGGACGACCTGTCTGAAAGACATAATATCCAAAATAATCAGCAGGACATTTACTAACAGTAAGAAAAACCGTTCACAAAGATCACTTCCTTTGTCATCTCTAAAACCAGTATAACACGACCTTCTCTGATAGTTCTAGCGCTATTACGCCATCACTTATGGATCAGACATTTATGGTGAACACCATCCAATTCTGTGAGATGTTATGGTTCTTAGGAAAGGAATTTAAAATTGTCCACCTAGAATTTTGAATTTCTCTATTAAATGTCTAGGAGGTGAATTCCTCCAATGGGTCTCAACATTTTTCTTTTAGTTGTACATTTCTTCTAGACCGCTTCTGAAAGTCTCCTTGCTGTGATCTTATGCAGTGCTTACAAGCTTTTCCGTGCCTCTTGTCTTTAATAAACAAACACAGTGTAAAAACCTAACATAGAAACTCGGTGCATTCACAAACCATCTTGTTAAAGAAACACAGAGCACCAAACAGGGATTTCAGCAAGTCATCTCACAGGAAGCTACAATTCTATGGAGAATGATCAAGGAAATTTAAAGATATATTAGTAAAAACATATAGTTTGACTCCTTAAGCCCATGTCAATATACTCTGAAACAATTTAGCTTTAGTAAAGTCATGCAGATGCTCCATATTCACTATTGGCTGCAATTATAAACATATAATAACCTTAAGTTACCCCTCCCACTTCTGTCAATGACATTGATTCAACATTTGCTTCACCAGATATATGGTGGACTCGTGGAAGAATTGTCAGAAGGCTCTGGACTGTGGCAGTGTGTTGGCTGTGGCACTATCGAAAGCTCCTATCTGTACCAGTAAGGAATTCTCCTTTCTCGAATGCAAAAGCTTTGCATTATTCACCTCTTTCTTCTCTGTATTTAAATCAAAGTGCAGTGTATACAATATAGTCTGGTTTTCAGAAATTATACCCAGTTTATATGCTATACCATGGATTTTGTTAATTGTGTATATGTAGGGACCATTTTTGAGTTGCTGTGATATAAATGAATTTAAATTTATATTACAAAGTTTAATAAAATTGATTAGACCAACCTGAAGAATGGAAGCTAGAGGAGCACTAGTATAAGGGGTTAACCCATAAACTGGAGAAATGGTTAAAAGGAGAAAACGTGAGTGCCCTGAATACATTAAAACATAACCTTTAATAGTAGTAATAAAACCTAGTATGGGTGTCCATAATAAGATAAATACTATATAATAATAATACACTAAAGTACATGCACACTCTGATAGGTGACTGTACAAAATAGGAAAATATGTAGCGATATCCTGTGAACTCTAGAAAAATAGAATCCAGGATTCTGTTTCTAAATATACAGAGACCTAATAAGTGTATACATATACACTAATAAAACAATATACAGTAGAAAAAGAATATATATATGCTAGTGAATATCTAAGGTATAAACAATGAAATAAACTAATGATTAACAGAAGTATATACAGAGAATGAAAACGGTCCTGTGCTAAAGACACATGGACCTTCACCACAAATGTAGGCTAGAAAACAAACTGAAGTATACAATATAAAAAGGTTCTGTTTTCAGAAACCTTCACTAGGTGGTGTAAGCAAAACAAAGTTTTGCAATCCCCAGAGCCTGAATACGAAATGTGGTTTATTTGTTATGCCCACTGTTTGGTCGTATCAAATAAAGAGAAAATATCCCTGATACGTGCTAATAATAAATGAACGTATATCCTAGTAGTTAGCAGGTCCTGTTCAGAAGTTTGCAGGGACCAGTGCTTAAGTCTGTGTGCAAAACTGGTGTTTCGCAATTTGGCGTGAATCCGTTAGACCTATTGGTTTAATACATATTATTATATATGTAATCTGGATATATGTAATCTGTGATCTGGATAGATCAGGCGTGCAGGTCCAGTGTTTCTAAGCAGGGCACCTAAAGTGCATACAGCCGTGTGCTACACAGACAAAAGAATTGGCTCCACAGTCAATGTGTATCCTCCTTAACGCTTTCAAGGAGATATGAACAGGAGCCGCAAGCACTCCAGGAATATGCGCTAACTACAGGCTCCGTGGATAGAAAAGTAAAGTATGATACCGCTAAGAGTGAAGGAATTGCTAAGCTATCCAAATAGAGCTCATATGGACAAATATACTTGCTAGTATGGTAGCTATATATTTAGTAGTAAATGCATAAAGCGCAATCCCCCCAGGAAAGAAAAATTGTTGTTATCGATAGTGGTAAAATACAGCTCGGGATCCGAGACATACAACTAAATTATAGAATGAGATGGAGTGAATAATGTGTCTCAAGTTCTCCGAAAGCCCCTGACGTGCGCGTTTCGCCCACAGCTCATCAGAGGGGAACCAATGTGCGGGAAGAAACCGAAGTTAAAAATAGAATGACAGTTCATCATTGGTGGATTCAAATGTCGTCATCTTGGGATTGGCCAATTACAATCATATCTATGGATGATGTCATTGGCCTCTCGGAGTTAACACAATGAGTGATACAGGTGATTTTTAACCCTTAGGAGTCCTGTTGAGCGACCCGAGAGAAATTATAATTCATGATTTAGAGACTATATGGAGAATGATATTGTGAATCAAAAGATAAGATAAAAAGAAAGTATATAGATAGAAGAGAAAATCTTTGGCTCAAAGCCTTCAGCAGTACATATGTATAAAAATTTGTTTTCGTACACACACTCAGCATTGATCGTAAAAAGTGATGTTTCAGTGGTACATATGTACCTTGTTTTCGTACAGACACTGAATATTAATCGTTGAGATTAATGTGGAAATATAAATCCCGGACTCGTAAATGTCCGGCAGCACTAATAGCTGGTAATGAGTGCTGAAATGTAATTGTAGCATACGATCTATATACCTAGTTAGTGGTCCCAATAAGTTTAGAATAGTTCTAGTATATTAGAAATAAACGGCCTGAGTAGATGGAACTTGATGTATCTAAATCCTACTCCTGAGTTTAATCATAAATGTAGCAGTATCTTTAACTAGTTAGAAATCTAGTAATGTGTACTTGCTACTTAAAAAACTTAACTGAAATAATTGAAGCAGCCTGATTCTAGGTGTTGTGCGACCTGAATTCATTTGGGGATATTATTATACATTATGAAGGTAAGAGAATCTAGGTGATTAATTATGCCCATGATACGTTACTTCAGTGTTACATAAAAGTATTATAACATTGAAAGTAATAGATTATAAATAGGATGGGTTGATAGATCTTGGTTAGATAATAAATATATCGGGGCGATATGATTACATGAATCCCAGACTATCAAATGTCCGGCGATATGAGTGACTAACAATGAGTGCTAATAAGTGATTATGATATTTAGACTCTGAACCCAGATAATTATCCTCATATATTTGTGGATATTAATGGTCCAAATATGTTGGAAAAAGAGAACCTTGGTTCTTAAAGGAACACTATAGTCACCTAAATTACTTTAGCTAAATAAAACGGTTTTAGTGTATAGATCATTCCCCTGCAATTTCACTGCTTAATTCACTATCATTTAGGAGTTAAATCACTTTGTTTCTGTTTATGCATCCCTAGCCACACCTCCCCTGGCTATGATTGACAGAGCCTGCATGAAAAAAAACTGGTTTTACTTTCAAACAGATGTAATTTACCTTAAATAATTGTATCTCAATCTCTAAATTGAACTTTAATCACATACAGGAGACTCTTGCAGGGTCTAGCAAGCTAAAGGGATAAGAAAATCTTAATTAGAGAGAACTTAAAGAGAACTTGCAATAAAGAAAGCCTAAATAGGGCTCTCTTTACAGGAAGTGTTTATGGAAGGCTGTACAAGTCACATGCAGGGAGGTGTGACTAGGGTTCATAAATAAAGGGATTTAACTCCTAAAGGGCAGAGGATTGAGCAGTGAGGCTGCAGGGGCATGTTCTATACACCAAAACTGCTTCTTTAAGCTAAAGTTGTTCAGGTGACTATAGTGTCCCTTTAAGTATATTTGAAAATATTGTTATTTGTCAAAAAAAGTAAATAGTATAGGTGATTAGTTGTGCTCACAACATAAGTGAGTAAATGAATCTCTGCTAGAAGACCGTATAATTGCTCATATTTCCTGTTGGAAATGTGTTTATGGGTACTAATTGCATAATCAACTTATGCCTGAACAATTATTTTGGATTCATTGTAGGTATCTAGAGTTGCTTCGTTAAGAAGTATATCTGTAAAAATCTTAAGTTAAGAGTGTCTTATTTTCGCCACTGGAGGGACTGCAAGAATCCCATTGTGTTATAATAGTGGGACCTAGACAACGTACCCTCCACACTCCCCAGATGAGAGACTCAATTGTATAGGTGGCTAAGTGAAGGCCAGTATTTTGCTGGAAGGCCACGAGATTATGTTATTATACAATGATAGAAGAGGATCTAAAAATATCCTACAAAGATTGGCATATAAATGGGGATGATTGGTAGTACTGAGTACGTTGATATCATAGGTATAGCAAATTCTTCATATATTAGGGCTATGTTAAGAATGATTATATCATGGACAATTCAATGTTAGTGTATGAAGGAGGTGAAACTGAACTCCCCATTGAGGTCATTGGGTGTCAGAGTTTGAAACTCATGGATCCATCTAGATTCTTTCTGTAAGAGTATCAGATTGAAATTACCCTTTCTAGAATTAAGGATGACTCTTTCAATGGCTTGAAATGACAAATGATTGGCATTTCCATCATGAAAGTTACAAACATGATTCGCAACTGGGGTGGTTAAGTTTGGATTTTTAACAGAATTAAGGTGCTGTAGAATACGTCTCCTAAATTCTTGGTAAGTCTTACCAATATATTGCATTCTACATGTGCAGGTTATAACATAGATGACTTACGTGGTGCTACAATTAATGAAATGGTTAATTCTGAATTCTTTCTTGGTTTTCTCACATTTCTCTATTTTAGAGACTTTAATAAATGGACAGGCCTTGCAGTGTCCACATCTGTGAATCCCCAATGGTGCTGTGAGCCAATTTTTTGGAGGTGGTTTTCTTTCTAGATGGCTATGCACCAGTAGGTCACGAAGATCCCTAGACCTAGGCGCTGTGATGTTTGGATAGGCAATTGATTGAGGATTCAGATCAGTGTCGTATTGTAAAATGGGCCAATGTTGAGTGAAAATTTCCTTGATTGGTTGCCATTGTTTGTCAAAAGTGCCTATACATCTGATCATTTGATTGATAGGAGTGGGTCTGGTTGACCGTAGGCTGTTACTCCTAGCTTGATTTAGTGCTCTCTGAAATGCTTTCTTTAGGAGTCTGTTAGGATACCCCTTGTTTTTAAATCTGATTTTCAATTTGTTTGCCTCAGCTATGAAAGACTCATCATTGGCGCAATTTCTCCTGGCCCCCAAGTACTGCCCATACGGTATCCCTGCTTTGAGACGATATGGATGGAAACTTCGCCAATGTAGGAGGCTGTTTGATGCGGTACTTTTTCTAAATAATTCGGTATCAACCGTACCATCCATATTCAATAGAATTCGAAGGTCTAGGAATTCTAGTTGTGATTCGTGGATAACATATGTAAGTTTCAATCCAATCTGATTGTTATTTAAATCTTCTACCATATCCGTAAAGTTAATGCATGAGCTAGTATAAATAGATGTATTGATGGTACTTGTTTAAGGTGATGTCTTTGCGAATGGTTTCCTCCCACCACCCAAGATATAAATTTGCATAGCTCGGGGCACAATCCGTGCCCATTGCTGTGCCCCATAGTTGGAGGTAGTAGGTGCCGTCAAAGAAAGTAATTGTGAGTTAGGATGAATTCCAGTAAAGATAATATCAATGCAATTTGTTCCGAGCTGTACTTGGTGG